TGATTCAGAGCTGACGCTGTGCACTCAGATTTGTCTTCCTTTTACTCGATGATAAAACGATGGCTATGAACCGTTTTTGAGCTCGAACAAGAGATTGAACAAGAACGACAAAAGTGCGACAGGTTGAGGATGTGGCTTTACTGTTTAGCACTGGTGAGTATTTGTGGTGGATTTGATCAGCGAGCGATCATGCATTCGACATACTTGTAATATCTGTGGTCCGGAATGCCTGCTTGTTTCGAACGAGGTCATGACGATTTCGTCCCGACGGCTGGCATCATCATCGCAGATTCGGAAGCCTTCAGTTTAGGCTGCTTAATGCTGTCTTTGTGTTGTTCTAGAATGGCAGGTTACGGAGTCGAGTCCGCGCGTACCCAATTCATTATTGCTCATGTTTATAAGCCGATGTTTAGTGTGAAAAAAATAAGGGTCAGTATCGCCAGCGTTTACAGATTTCTTGCGGAGACAACGCGCAAATCCGAATTGAGGTGGAGTTCGTTTCTAGTTCGTGAGAATGTTCGCTGAGCTCCAAACATCCGCTTGCTGATTCACCTGCACGCTGGCCGACTGACACGCTGTTTCGTCCATCTCACATCCGACCAGCGCGGTATTCGAAGTCACTCAACGCGGTTACTACTTAACGGCAGGTAAGTCATGCTTTTCACAGGTAGGCTCGAATCGTGATCGGTATCGCCCAGCGGTCACGTAGTAAAACAAATGGGTTTCAAATACCGAGTTGCTAATTACGGTAGTTTAAGTATCAACGGGTAACACTCGCGAGAGACGGCAGACAGAACCTGGAAATGGATGCGCGGGTTGGTCAAGCAAATGCTGTATTGCTGCTATGAAACCGGCCTGTGGTAGTGGATAAGGAACTGAACCGTAATACGAAGCTGTATGCCTTTCAGAATGTACAAGCACATGCCGTAACGTCCGGCCGTGAATGCTGGATAAGAATTTGTTTGCCGGACAAGCGGTAAAAATAAAGTTTCTTCGAAGACTTTCTGGCTGACGATAATCGGCAAGGTTTACAACACGTCAGAAGATGCCCTCGACTGTGAAGCACACCTCTGGGTCGAGAGATTACGGTGGCAGTGGTTTGTACGTGTGATGACGATGCCACACAAAATACTCGCTACGTGCCTGCTTTTGATAAAGTTACAGTGAACGTGGTGCAGAAGCGAGACAAACCGCGAACCGCATTGTTCGATTATGTAAAAGACTTGACAATGCCGTACCTCTTAGTTCATACCGCTATGCTTCTCTGTTTGACGACGGACCCAGGTCAGAGGAAGGGCTTTCTAAACAGTTGCCCCATCAACTTGAAACGAATGGATGAGCAGTTGAGTTCGTATTTAACGAATAAATGATGTCTCTTTCTTCTGTCGCTTCTCCGGATTCAATCGTCATAGTCGCACCGTTGCCTTGCTTATAGTAGCCGAGGGAACGATTTCAACAGGCCACGGATCCATGGACGCAGAATCACCAAACCATCACTTTGTTGCGTCGAACAGAAGTAAGAAAACATTCTTGTGATTCCTGTTTAATATGAAACGTAAGCATCGAGGTGTTTTTCGGCCTCATTTCTCATCTCACGTCACGTGAATGGCACGTCGACCTCTTCAATTATACAAGCGAAAAATCTATCGGTCATTGTTCTATCCAGCTGGTAAAGCGACTGTTGTCCCGTTGAGTTAACCAAGTGGCGTGTTATGAACGCCTCTTAAGGAAGTTCGACTACAATAACATAATAACAGACATCCGCAATACCATCCCATCTATCATTAGCCATTCTTGACATTTCCTTTAACAGCACTAGTCACCTTCAGTCGTAAAATGAAATACGAAAGTTGCTTCTTCAGACCTTTCAGGACGCCACAAATTCATTTTCTTATCAGGTGTTGCGAAACCGCTGTTTTCGCCAAGCGGATTAGAGACCTTCGTGTCGTTAGTAACACTGCCGGCGTCGTTGTCCTGTGCCGTCGACAAGCCGTTTCGAAATTAAGCAGTCTGGTTCTGTGTCTGTCTTCAAGTCCTGTTGTTTCATTCATGTTCTGGGGCTAGCAGGTTCAACATGTATGGACTTCTGTAGTGTGCACTTCGTTCGCCAGGGAGCTAGCGTTTATGTGTGGATTCACAGGCGCAACCTTGCCATAGGTATGACATGTATGATATTAGGTTCTCATGCGGTTCAACAAAGACAGTCTGTTAATGAGCGTAATTTACTCAATCGGTTCACATTAAATATTGTGATATTCACACCTAGTAGCCTAGGCGGATCTTTTAAGCAGATCAGGCTTTATGGCGTTTCACCACCTGCGTTTCCTGGATGCATTTTGCCTCATTTTTTGGCTAGAACATTGCCTTGTTCATTTTCGGGGAAATTTTAGGAGCTGGTAATCTTTGTGCACTTTCGCCACTATATCTTTAGTAGTAAGTATATCCATTTAATAATAAGATAAGATTAAAAGACAGCTTGTGACCGTTGCAAACGAAAAACATTTTGAACAAGAATTGCTCATTACTTGTGACTGTTTTCGATCGGAGCCGAAAAACGATCTTTAGGCAAAAAATGTTATAGGAAAGTCACATTTCAGTTACATTCGTGCTGAAGATGATGCTGACTTCGCTCATCATCATTAAATGAATGACAAGAATTTAATTTTAAAAATTTATTTATTTATGAGTTTGCGGTTTTTTGTTTGTTTATTTCTGTGACGTTTTTATGTTCATTCGTGATATTCCCTTGTTT